AGGAGCTCGTAAATGGTCGGATTTGAATAATATAGCTCAGTGGAGTTCAGGAGATATAAATAATGTCACTTTGTCACCATTACCTGCAGTGCCATTGTATTCAATTTCTAGGGATGGACCTAGTGGAAAAATGTATGTAGATGCTGATTTTGTTGAGCATGCTTTCAGCGTAGTAGAATGTGTACAATTTAGTAAGGGGCCAGCTTTAGAAGTATTTGTATTTGATTCTGCTTTGGGGTGTGTTACAGCCCTACTTGGTGAATTTTAAAATCATTACGATGTTTTGGAAATTTGAGGTAATTCTGTACAGTAGTGTTTAGATTCATTGGAAGATGTAGAATATTTTATATTTTGTTGGAGAAATCAGTTTTGATTATTATTGAAGAGTCAGTTCATTCCTTACAAACATATTTTCTTCTCCATGCGGAGAAAATTTTGGAGTTTTGTTCGTTGTAGTGAAATTCATGTTAAAGTGGATATTGTAAGAATTTGAGTGTGACCCGAATTCCTCGTTGAAATAATTGAAAAATTTTAATTAAAGTGCACGTCAAGAGTAATTCAGTTTGGCATGCTTTTAGAGTCTTATTCAAGTTGAAATTTTATTTGGAAGCCCTATTGGGAGTTTGACTAGGAAAATGATTTTGAGATGAAGAAAACAACTTTAAAAAAAAAAAGAAAAGGGAAAGGTAGAACGCCAGACGCCGAACATGGGGCGCCGACACCCTGTTAGGTGTTTTGCCGCGGGTGATGGGGCGCCCAGCGGGGATGCCCGGAGGTAGCGCAACTCTGTTTCAAGTTTTGCATTTTTCTCTACTTTTTCGTTTTGGACTAGATTTTTTGGCATCCTATTTCATCAACAACTCTACTATGAGGGTTTGGACATCCCCTATATGAATATTAGTCTCTTCTATACAACTTTATAATGTGAGAAAAGTGATTACTAACTTTTAGCATCATTGTAATACTTCTCCATCTTCATTATTTGTGGTGCAATAAAATTTCTTAATTCCTCTTCCATATTTTCTTATCTTCTTTTATTCTTTTACTTGTGATCAAATATTTCATTATTGTGTCCTATAACTTCAATATCTCAATCCAATGATTGGTTTCACATCAAGTGGTATCGAGTAATAAGTGATTATTGAATTCTCAACAATTGATATCAGAGATTCTGGGCATAATTAACACAAGATCCTTCTTTTAATCATGAAAAACTAAGAGGTACATGTACATAAACAGAACGGGAAAACACACCAACAAGAGAAGCTACATAGTAAAAATTGAATCATAATCACCTAGATTTGAAATCCATACTTAAGCCTTCTCAAAAAGTAATTACTAGTTCATTATCATTCATTTAGGTAGGCAAGTTTCTAATTTACCATTCTACAATTTTTTCTTCTCTCTCCATCTTGTCCTGTAAGAACACCAATATTACCGATCTTCACCATAGATATACTAAAATCTCGTGAGAAAAGGAAAGGGAATTTGCTATACTTCATGACAAACAAAGCGGTGATATTGTCACCCATAAGGGCTTGGTCTGACTGTAGGAGACCGAAATTGTTTACAATATTCTTGAAATAGTAGTTGTCGAAC